TTGCCAACGAATTGTTTGATTCTTCTTCTTGGTTTTGTACGCGTTGATCTGGTCCGCAAGGCTGCATCCATCACTCATATTTATTGATGCTGCCGTGGCGATAACCAATGAGGCAACATCAAGATCATAATATTATTAATATATAGTAAAATTGCAATTGTAAAGGCTTCTGATTCCTTGCCTCATTCTGTATTATTGTCATTATGAATTTACAAATTAGCCGAACTTTCTCACCCTTGCCACATGGCAGGACAGTCGGATCGTCACTCCAACATAAAAGTGGTTTGGTTTGACTCACTAGCTCTTGTTTTTAAAAATTGACTTGCTTTGGATTATTTGAATTGGATGGTTTTGATAAAATTAGAATTTAACTCCTGAAATAGTTCGGCCACTTTGAATCGTTTTCTTCTATACTTTTAACTAACTTTTGGCTATAATATAAAATTTTAAATGTATAATTTGTTATTTTGTTTACTGTTATTATATAAATGAAAGTGTAAATAAAACTGAAAATTCATTTACTTTAAAAGGATAAATAAGATAAGCACAAGCACTTGGATTAATTGACAAGAATTGTTCCACTTAATTAAAAGTCTAGAGTTTGAGTCCTCAAAATGCAGCAACATAAGTGGTTGGCACCCACTCTAGTGGTGCTTGTCATACCTCGATCCAATTAATTAGTCTAAGCCTTGTTATATTCTCACACCTTGAGTGGAGTAAGTTTAGGATATGGGGCACTTAAGTGAAAAGATAATTAAAGTGAGTAAAAATATACATATGATTCTACCCAAAAAAAAATTATAAATATGAAAAAAAATTGGGATTAAAATTTAGTATGTTAGATTCTTGTTATGGAGAATCTCACTTAGGGCTTTTAGAGCACAAAAATTTGCATTTATGGCTCAATATAATCTGAAAACTCTCTGCAAGCTTAAGGTCCTTAAGTGAAATTATGTTTTAATGAGAAAAGACATATTTGCCCTCCCTTTCTCAATGAATACACAACACAATATCAATATATTTCAACACAATGCCCTGCAATGTATAATTGATTTAGTAAAAATGATTTAACTTAAAATGTATAAGTTGTGCAGGATGAAAGAATAACATAATATTTATGAATATACAACATAATATCTTGTAATATATAATTAATTTAGTAAAATAGTTTAAGTTAAAATGAAATATTCAAGTTGTGAATAATGAAAGAATAACAAAATGTCCAAAAATACACAACTCAATATTTATAAATTTGTAATACAATGTCTTGTACGGTAATTGACAGCAACATGTCCGAGGATAAATACATCTTTTTTCATTAATATATATTTTTATTTAAGACCCTTGGACCTACAAAGAGTTTTTAAATTATATCAGGTCATCAATGTAAATTTTTGTGCTATGGAGGCTGTAAGTGAGATTCTCTCTTTTTATTATGATTGGATCAAATTCAAACATGATTAAGTTTCATTTATTTTTTTTTTCTGGCCAAATTCATCAGCTAATGTCTTTGTTCGGTTTCTTGATTAAAATTCTAGCTATTTTTCGTATTAAAAAAAAAGAAATTCTAACAAATTGGGTAGAGCTAGGAAAATAGGTCCAACTTGAAATGCAGCCCATCTGAGGGAACTGGATTTCTAATCCCGACCTTAATAGGCTAAAAAAAAAAAAAAGTGAAACAAATAGCCTGAGCTTGGGAGAATTAGAGTCTACCTAAGAAGATAACCTTGTTCTAAACATGGGTGCACGATAATCTTATGTCTCGACTCCTCTGACTTCTCATCCTCTGTCTCCGTTCTCGTACTCGGTGTCTCTGACGATGTCTCGCTTATGTTCGACTATTCTCCCACTTGGCGTCCCTCAATGATCATTGGTATCTCGTTGTGCCTCCGTCGAAGGTACTCATTTCATATTTGGGTGGATCTTTGAAAACGAGTATTGAATCCAGATGAGCCAAATGCCTCTAATTTGTGTTGGTTTGTTTTTGCTTTGATTATGTGATATTGAGTATCCCACTGGGTGTTATCATTTCGGGAACCATGCCAATATCCACAGAAGACGATAAACATGCCTATGTTGGAACCACACCAATGTAACACCCCAAAAATCCAAGGTAATAATCTTACAAGGATAGAATCTTTTCATTTTATTTTTGTAAATATTTTTCTAAAAACATGTCAAATAACAAAAGCGGGATCTCAAAAAAAAATTTTTTATCACTGGGCTTAGGACGTTTAAAGCCTAACAATCCAAAACAAGGAAACTCAAATTGTATTCTAATTTAAATTGAATAAATACAATCAAATGACTGGGCTCAACTCACAAAAAACTAAAGTTCGACAATCAATTTTAAATATCAAGTTTCATGATCATTTCTGTCACATCCATAAAAAAAAATTGTAAATAATCAATTACCCAAATTATGTTGGTTATAAAAAAAATTAAATCATAATCCTAAATCATGCCAACAAAATAATAAAACGACAATCTCATGTGCCAAACCAAACGGGACAAGGAGCCTAAATTCATTATTCTAGCTCCTTTCTCATAACTTTACCGGACAACTTACTTGAAAATGGAATAGGTAACATGTGAGATTCAATATTTTAATAACAATTGGATAATTTAAACAACAATAGTATATCAATTAAAAACCAGTACCTAAATCATATTTAGATACTTACTTTTTTGTAATCCTTTTGCAAACCATTTCTTAAATAAGGAAATGCTAATTTTTCATAATTGAAACAATTCACATCAAATATCAATAAAATCAAGTGATATTTATCATAGCTACACCCTTATTTCTTGCGTCTTGCACCTTATTACCACTAATTAGAACATAAATTGTAGATATACTCAATCAAAAGCACATTGTCAATAGAGTAAAACTACCCTTTTCAAAAGGAGGTGCATACCCAACATCTCAAAAAACCAAAGGCATTGGAAACTACAAAGAAAATGCCAACTGAGTGAATAGGTGGAGCATTAGAATTAGAATGAAAAAATTAATTTTTTAGTCCTTCAACTTTTAATTCACTTATAATTCAATCTCTCAACTATGACTTACTGTAACTCAATCCCTCAATTATAAATCACCTATGAGTAAGTCCCTCAACTTTTGAATCACTTATAATTTAGCCTTCAATTTTTGTTAATTCTCTTTTTTCATGTTAGCTTAAATCTCACATCAAAGAGCAAGAGAAGGGTATTTTAAAATAATATATGAGTATTTCTTTTATCCCTCTTATTTGATAAGGAATTTTAAAAAAAAAATATAAAAATAAGAATTGAATTATAAGTAAATTAAAAATTAAGGGACTAACTTATAACGATTTATAGTTGAGGGACTGAATCACAGTAAGTTATAATTGAGGAATTGAATTGCGAATGAGTTAAAAATTAAAGGATTAAAAAATTAATTTTTTTTAATTAGAATTATTTAAAAAATTGTGAGAAGCATCTTGAAAGGTAAAGATGTTTAAAATAAAAAAAAAAAAAATGACCAATACACTCCAACTGGGTTCAGTTCCTTCTTACCACTTTTTTTCCTTCCTATTTTCTATTGGCCATCCCTGTCTCCCGTCCATCAGTTTTGAGGGGGAAAAAAGCAGACTGACAAATGCACCTTATCAGGATTGGATTTCCACGTAGAAGGACGAGAATGAAGAAGTAAGAGCCATGACTATAGTTGCCGAGGCACCTCCCTCTTGTCCCGTGGCTTCACCGTGTCCTTTATGGATATCCAAACGCAGCAGCCCAAGAAGAAGAAGAAGCTCCTTCAGAGGCCGAAGCAGTAGCCTCCAAAGACTGAAACTACCACCTCAAGCTGCTCTGGTCGAGGCCTCCGTCATCCCTGCGCTTAGTGATGGGTTCTCTTCTTTCAAGGTCCGTGCACTTCCAGCGGACCGAGGTAATAATGACTTGCAGGCCAAGGCCAGAGCCATGGCACCTTCTGCCCATGCTTCTGTCAGTAGCACTCAGCTCCTTGCCGATAAATATGAGTCTCAAGCATTCCAGGTATTTCCCTATGGGAACCTTATTTTGGTTGATGAATACCGGTGGATTTTCAATTTGTTTCTTCATGAATAATTTCTTTCAGTTTTAGTTGTTATCCTTAATTAATCTTGTTGTGTCCAAAATTTTAATCTGAATCAAGAAGTGTCAAGATTGTTTTAAAACAGCATAATGTTAGGTTCGGTGTTTAATCTCTTATGAAAATAGAAATTTTAAGAATTTTAATAATGGAGTGACTAAAGTGAAAGAAGTCATCCGGGGAGCACTGAATTGAAAGCCCACCTATCTAGGAATTGGAGTTCCATGAAAATTTCAGTTTTTTTTTTTTAATCATTGTTTGTGGGCGGAATCAGGTACTGTGGATTGATTCGACCATTCTTGTATATTGAATAGGTGTTAGGAGGGTCCGTGCAAATTCTTTCTGATCCTGCATACAAGCTTCTCCAACACCATCCATTGTTGGACCTCCTCTCTAAATGCAAAAGCGTGCGAACCTTCAAACAAATTCACTCGTGCATTATCAAGACTGGCATCTATGATACCCCTTTGGCGCAAAGTAAGCTCATCCAATTCTGTGCCGTTACGCCTGTTGGCGATCTCTCTTATGCTCTCTCACTGTTTGAATCCATCGAAAAACCAAACTTGATCATGTGGAACACAATAATTCGAGGTTACTGGTTGAGTTCCTCTCCAATTTTGTCTGTACAAGTGTATGCCCGTATGATGAATTCAGGGGTGGAGCCAAATTCTTATACTTTCCCATTCCTTCTCAAATCTTGTGCTAAAATTAGGGCTGTCCGTGAAGGGAAACAAGTACATGCTCATATTTTAAAACTTGGGTTTACATTCGATGCTCATGTGCATACTTCGCTTATTACTATGTATGCTCAAATTGGGGACTTGGATAATGCTAGGTTGGTTTTTGATAGTAATATTTCACGTGATGTTGTTTCTTGCACGGCATTGATATCAGGGTATCTGTTAGAGGGTTATGTCAATGAAGCTCGGCACTTATTTGACAAAATTCCAGTGAAAGATGTAGTGTCATGGAATGCTATGATTGCAGGGTATGCCCAAAGTGATCGTTTTGAAGAAGCACTTTCTTGCTTTCATGAGATGTTAAAAGCAAATGTGTTGCCTAATCAGAGTACTTTGGTGACTGCTCTTTCTTGTTGTGCTCATTCAGGATCATTGGCATTGGGAAAATGGATAAGCTCTTGGATTAAGGAACATGGGCTTAGTTCAAATCTTCAGTTGACTAATGCTCTTATTGATATGTATTCAAAGTGTGGTGAGATTGATACTGCTCGAGAATTATTTGATGGGATAGTTGGAAGAGATGTGATTTCTTGGAATGTTATGATTGGTGGTTATTCTCATATGAATCTATACAAAGAAGCGTTGTCCCTTTTTCATCTCATGCTTAGATCAAACATAAAGCCCAATGACATTACTTTTTTGGCCATTCTTCCTGCATGTACTCACTTGGGTGCTCTTGACCTTGGCAAGTGGATTCATGCATATATAGATAAAAACTTTAAGAACATAAGCAATGTTTCTCTTCAAACAAGTCTCATTGACATGTATGCGAAATGCGGTTGCATTGAGATGGCAGAACAAGTGTTTAAAAGCATGAATTATCGAAGTGTTGCCACATGGAATGCAATGATATCAGGTTTAGCCATGCATGGACATGCAGAGAAGGCTCTAGGGCTTTTCTCTAAAACGGCCAATAAGGAATTCCAACCTGATGACATCACATTTGTTGGAGTTTTATCTGCTTGTAGCCAAGGTGGTCTGGTAGATCTTGGACGCCAACATTTTGAATCAATGGTCCAAAACTATAAGATTGTACCAAAGCTTCAACACTATGGATGCATGATAGATCTCCTAGCTAGAGCAAGGAAATTCGATGAAGCAAAGGATCTGATTAAAAATATGGGAGTGGAGCCAGATGGAGCTATCTGGGGTTCTCTGCTTAATGCATGTAGAGTTCATGGACATATTGAGTTAGGTGAATATGTTGCTGATCGTCTCTTTGAATTAGAACCTGAAAATACAGGAGCATATGTGCTTTTATCAAACATATATGCAGCAGCTGGAAGATGGGATGATGTAGCAAGAATAAGAACCAGATTAAATGACAGAGGAATGAAGAAAGTTCCTGGTTGCACCTCTATTGAGATTGATAGTTTTGTTCATGAGTTTCTTGTGGGTGATAGGAGTCATCCCCAGAGCGAAAATATCTATAAAATGTTGAATGAGATAGATAAGCTTTTAGATGCTTCAGGATTTGTTCCTAATACATCTGAGGTATTGTATGACATGGATGAGGAGTGGAAGGAAGGGACTTTGAGCCAACATAGTGAGAAGCTGGCTATTGCCTTTGCCTTGATAACCACAGAGCCTGGGACTACAATTAGAATTGTGAAGAATCTTCGGGTTTGTGGAAATTGCCACTCGGCTACCAAGCTAATATCTAAGCTCTTCAATAGGGAAATAATTGCAAGAGATAGAAACCGTTTTCACCATTTTAAAGATGGTGTATGCTCCTGTAATGACTATTGGTGAAAACTTTTCGCTTAGAGGAATAACAAGTACAGAAAGAGAATTGGATAATTCTGCCTTATGTAAGTTGATGACAGGTATATTGAACACTCTCTATCTTAATTTATTTCTACATTCATTTTGAACTAAAACAATTGAAGAACTTGGAAGAAAATTCGGGAGCTTACCTGAATTGTGTTTTGAGCACCACAACGTTATTCCATTTAATAGATCATTTTGTTATTTGTTCATTGATTGATTGAATTATGTCCTAGGGACAAAACAAACTCTACAACTGTACAGCAATGCATTCTACTAAGGGAACCTTATCTTGGTTGATATATGCATGTGAGTTTTATCAGTGCCTGTCCTCCAAGCCTAACCTCTACTCGCATGAGTATCTAGAGGAGCTTGTTGAACTTAAACTATTATTAGCTTAGCTTGAGTGAGAAATTTGATTGTTTCAGTAATTAACATCTATTGACTGTATGGCAAGCTCTTCATTAATGCTGAGAAAATTTGTTTTCTGATGTAGGGTACTGTGTTGTCCTTTGTTGTGAATTATGATATAATGCTACAAAGATGAAAAAAAAAGTAGAGGATTTTAAATAATTTTCACCTCTTGTAGTTTGCTACGATGCTTTGCTCATGTTTCATAATGAAGGGGCAATGAGGACTATCTCCTGAGTCCATTTTCTCTTCAATAACTCCTTTTCCCATAGCAGTGGCCATTTTGGGTCTAGTTTATAAAACTTTTCTGAATTACTCTGGGAGACTTGTGGGTGTTAAGGTGCAACGGCCTTGGCATTGAAGAAGCTATAGGATTAACCTTCATTCTGGAAAGAGGCCTAGGATTTTTAATAAACATATATATAGACATAATTTTCAATAATTTGTTTCTTATTGATGAATTTGCATATGGAGCTTTCAAGAGCTCGACTATGTGCAAGTCAATTCTTCAATCACTAGCTCAGTGATTTCATTGCAAGAAAACATGGACCTATTTCCTATGGAGAATATCAATACAACCAACTTTTATTGTTCTTTTCTCATCATATTTCAAAGATTTTTTTTTTTAAAATAAACTGAGAAATACCCGATGTTCAGCCTCAACAAACCAATTGTCAGACTTTTCATCACTTTCACAGTGTCTTTGACAAAGAATCTAATGATTGAAACTTTTTCTGTTTAACATTGTGAACTTTAAGTTGGAGTGTGCCTAACATGTTAACTATTAAACTTAGACTACTTATTTCTGCATTTTTTCCTGTAGTCTGACTCTGATGGTTTGCAATTTTTTTCCCTGGCTATCCATTCATATTATGCATTAATATTGAGGTCTCTTGTTGTTCTCAAAAGCCTTAGCGCTTTAAGCTGATCCTAATTTCACAGTGCTTGTTGCTTCATACCCATATTTTGCATAGAAGCTCCTAACAGATCCAAACCCTTATCTTAGAGATGCTCTTATTTGCCTTGCTTTTCAAGGATGGGAGATTCAGGTATGCATTACGCTGCTATATCAAATGTGTACTTTATTTTTTATAGGAGGGCATATAGCATGTTTGGTATAAATACACTTGAATGTCCATTAATCCAGTCAAGTCCAGGTAGAAGGACAGAGATTTCACTGCAGGAGATGCTTTACAACCTGTTCTGAAGGTATTATTGAGTCCAGAAGGCGAAGAGCTGGGACTTTGGTTATTTAAGGCCGCTAGTGTAACTGAGGCCTTTTACCCTGAGCATTACATATGATTCATACCAGTTCGTTCCTAACTTTATGAAGACCCTAGTTTAAAAGGCAATGCAAATGGACCCCTCATGATCTCAAACGCCTGAATGAAAAGTTTGTTGGAGCTTAAAGATCAAGTGCGGAGCGTATGAAGACATTACACACCTGCAATCCTTTGATGGTGGTGGTCGATCTCTTTTGCAACCTATTGTATAGGTAAGAATTATCAACTTATCACTTGCTATATCAATGTACGGTAAATTATGTTTGCTCCTACTTCTGCCTTCCTTTTAATATACTCTGTAGTAATAGTCATTTCATTTACTCTGGAATGATGATGTTAATGATGGATTTATCTGATTGTTTATATTAGGCCTGAGGCCTCTAGAGCAGCCCTTTTGCTTTGAGGAAAAGCCTGTTAATTATTATTAATATGTTAAGCTTTTCGTTTAACAATTTATAAATGCCAATATATAGTAAATTGAAATTGTATCAGTTTTGGAAACATTAGCTGTGGGCCGTGGCTTTTCTTAAGGTGAGGCACTACAAGTGTTGGCAAATTTTGTGGATCATGTACTGCTTGTGTGAATGGAACAAGGGTAATGGATCATGGGAACGTTTTGTTTTATGTGGAATGACCAAGGCAAGCTGAAGCTTGAAGATTATTACATTAGCAAAACAAAAAAGGACCCAATAAATTAAACATAGAAGCGTCTATCTTCCAACAGAAGCGTCTGCAACCCATTGGAGGTTCTTGTATCAGTCATTTCATAACCCACATTATGAGCATTTTTGCTAGAAAATTAGCTCATTGCATGCTTTCCCTGTAAGAAAATTAGCACATTCAATGTTCCAGTCTTGGAAGAGCAATTCTATGCTCTCTTATTCCAACTTAGCAATTTCTGAGATTTTGAGAAGAGTTGCTATGCAAAGTATGATGAATGTTTTAAGCTGTGTTTTTGGCCTCTATGGTAGAATCAGTCAAAGGACACAGTAGTGGTGGGTTAACCTATCACTGATGTCAACGGTTCGAGTCTACTCACTGCTTATCTCCAATTGATGAACTTAATTGATACAAAGCTGTATGGTAGTGTAACAGTCCTCACCCCACCCCACTAGGAGTCTTTTGGACTAAGCCAACCCATATCACTGCAGCAGAAGTCAGTTTTTCCCAAGGTGGTACTTGAGTTATTCCTCACCCCACCAAAGAAATCTTTTGAAGCCTTCCCAAACTCGAACCTCCAACCTCTATCACCTTAACGAAGTTGAGGCTAAGTCTTGTACCACTGAGTCAAGTTGGAGGTTCGATGGTACCAGACTTAGCCTCAACTGACTCAATGGTCCCAAATTTAGCCTCAACTTCTTTAAGGTGATAGAGGTTGGAGGTTTTAGTTTGTGAAAGTTCCAAAAGAACCTCTTTGGTGAGGTAAGGAATAACCGAAGTACCACCTTAGGAAAAGCTAGCTTCCACTGCCATGAGGTGGATTGCCCAATCCGAAAGACCCCCAGTGGCGTGAGGTAAGGACTGTTACAAGTAGCACCCAATTTTTTTGATTTGATAGTAGGGTGATTGACAATTGTATCTCATCAAAAGATTTTGGGAGAATGTCACAAAGGGCTCCTAGAAACAAGATAATAGTACATTGGGCCAAAAATATTATGAAATTCTTCCACAGGCTATTGGACTGCGATGAAAACATGTTTTGAGGTCAAATTTTGCAAGCACCCTTGAGATGAGTAAATGCAACATCACAACCAGAGATTGACCAGTTTTGGTCTGGTTGTCTAGTTTTGATTGCAAATAGTTCTGCAGCAGCAATGGAAATGGAGACTAATCTTTTTTGAATCGACCATGGGAATGTTTTTTAATTGAGAGATATGCTCATAAAATCAAATTGAATTCTCGGTATAAACTTGGAACCAAATTAAATTACACTATATTATTAATATAGTAGTTTAGCTAAACATTTAGAAATGATCCTTGCGATTGATTACTATGATTTTGAACTGAAATTTTTTAATATATGAAAGCATATCTAACATTGATGTCAAGAAATTTATTTTTTGTAAATTCCTAAGCCATTGGAATCTTTTTATTTTGTTGAATTTGAACTGTAGAAAAATTATGACTCGGCTCAATAGTGAAAAGAAACTACTAACTCTTGTTCTAGCTCACTTTTTGAGTCGCTGATTTATCAAATGTTTTCTATCTATGTGGAAGGATTGCAAAGGATCCTCGATTCGATAGGTTGCCCTGTACTCACAAAGGGACCTATGCAGATGATTGCATTGTTGAGAGAGTTACTGAGGTGTGATTTTTTTTTTTTTTGTAATTCCTATTTTATTTTCTTTGCAGAATCTCCCGGAGAAATTACAGATTTGTTTGTTTTCGATGAAATTGTAAATGTATTATATTATCTAAAACGATCTTAAGTCATTGAGGCTTGAAGAACCATCTCTATACTATATTTATTCCATGCATTAAGGGTTTCTACGAAAGTGGTAGGTTCCAAGGGTAGATACTGGCTGGGTGGCAATTGTTTTCCTATTATTATTTGACATGTTTCGGAAGTCTTGATTGCTTGTGCTGTATTTTATTGGTTAACCGGTATCCATCTCTATCATTGAAATGCAAAATTGAACCAAGTGGTAAAAATTGACTCTTAAATTAGAGATCTATAAGCATTTGAGATTTTAAATTTATTTTTGGTATAATATTTTTTTTAACTTTTAAAAATAGTGTAATTTGACTTTTATAATTAAAGAAAGTTAACTTTAATTATTAATTATTTCAATGTGATTAAAAGGAAAAGGCACAGTCAAGGTGCAAAGCCTATAAAATGCCTTAAGCACAAGGTGTCAAAAAGGCAAGTGCTTGAGTGAAGTTGGATGTAACCATGTAAAAATGCATAATGTAATAAACACTCTTAAAAATTGCCCTTTTGGTAACAATAGTTTCTCAATCATATTTAAAATTCCAAACAAAGATAAATGCTTGTAATAAACTTTCCTATTTATTATATCATATAAGTTTTTATATTTTATAGAGAAAATATAATTTTAGATCCTTGCACTTTACTCATATTTTACTATTAATTTCTGCACATTTTTCGATGATTTATGTTTCTATGCTTTTATTTTTTAATATTTTAGGTCCCTTTATGAATAAAATATAGGGAATCTTGAAAGGACTTAAAACATTAAAAAATAAAAGTGCAAAGACCTAAAATACTAAAAAAAATTTAAAAACTAATAGCAAAACACGAGTAAAATACAGGAATTCAAAGTTATATTTTTTTTTATTTTATAGGAAAAATGACAAAGAGGTCCTCAAAGGATTAATTAATTCAACTTAGGCCCCAAGTGCTAAATTTCAAAAAGTTGCAACTCAATTTCTTAATTTTACAATTGCATTGTGATGAATTTGTAATTTGTTTTTAAATTTTAACATGATTGAAGAATAAAAAAATTATTTTTTCTATTAAAATTTAAAATAAAAGTTACAAATTCATCACAACGGAATTATAAAATTGAGAGATTGAGTTGTAAATTTTTAAAAATTGACACTTAAAATCTAATTTAAATTAATTAATCTTTTTGGCACTTCTATATCATTCTCCCTATTTTATAGCATGAAAGTTTCCATGTTTGTTTATTTTTTATATCATATACACACACACACTGTACACTTAGTCGCTATAGCAGTGCGTCATCCTCGTCTTTTCTTCTTAATACCTAGTCAGTCGTCCTCGTCCTCTCGTCTACCATACCCAGTCGGCATCATTCTGATCTTCTCTTCCTCAATACCTCCAGTCCACGTCAGTCATCTTCATCTATTTTTCAATACCCACTACTCGATTGTCCTCAGCCTTATGTTTTGTAACCAGGCGCCCTTAGGCAAGCACCTTTTGATCATGCAAGGCGCAAAAGGTGCCCTCAGGGGATGAGCTTGTCTTGTGCCTCGCCTTTAACAACACTGAGTTGATCAGAAAATAACATAAAAGGGTTTCAAAAATTACAAAAAAGACTACTATAATTTTTTTGATCCTTTCCTGTAACTTTTTAGATTTTTTATTGTAATTTTTTTTAATTTTTTTTATAATTTTGAGGTCATTTTTTGTTATTTTGTAATATTTGTTTCATCCTATCTTTTGGTGTGTTGTTTTTTATTTATGAACTCAGCACTACTAATTCGAATTGCCCTCGATTTAAATGGATTCAAGTGTCTATTTTTATTAAAGTCTGAAGGAGCATATGTATTTTCTGCTCGCTTAATTATTGTTCTTTCTTTTTATCCTATTCACCACAAAGCATTTTGTTGGATGCAGTTTAGGCGTTCCATTGTTGCAACATGTGATCGAGACTTGAAGCGAAGGATTCGCAAGTTAAAGTGAAGAATTGTTATTCTACCTCCTATTATTGAAATTGGCCCTTAAACTTGGTTTTGGTGCAAATTCCTGATGCACCAATCATGTACATCACTGAACAAAAGTATTCAATTGAGCTGCCTGGGGCAACAATTGGGTGAGATATATATATATATCTATATTTAGAAGCTTTAATTACAAATTACGAAGGAAACTATTGTTTTTTTTAAAAAAAAAGGGGAGAGAGAGAGAGAGAGAGAGAGCCTTGTTTGTTTGTTTGACCAAGCATATATTGTATTTTAAGCCCATTTGATGATGAGATTATCAAAAGTTTCATTATTAAGCATTTAAGCCTATCTCATGGCTCATTAGGGGCTCATTTGGATGGTGAAATGGAAAAGGGAATAAAATGAAAGAAAAGTGATCTCTTTAAATTTGTTCAGATGTGAAATGTCACATATATCCTCAGATAAAACTTAATAATGAGAGGAAATAGTTGTTTTTAAGTAATAATTATGAGTATATAATTGATATTTCACATCTCATTTGCCATATGTGATGGGAAATGATCACCTTTCTTTAGGTTTTTTGATTCAATTTGGCATAAACATACTGTAGGTATGGATATGGCCCTTAGCAATTATTTATAATTCTAAAATTCTAATAATTAGAATATGATTTAAACTTAAGGCATATTATCTCTTTTATTCTACAAGGTCTGCTTTAAACAATTTGGAAAATATTGATGCTTTATAGGCATTGGAGAGACTGTGAAGCTTCAGCTGAGATGAGCTTGATATCATGCTGCATTAAGACTGACTTTTTTTATTTTTTATTTTTCTTGATCTAATATACCTGAACTTATGGGGTCCTCCTAGATGATGACGACGACGAGACTTTGGTAGTTAATAATCAAGTTCCTGATTATCCAGTCAATAATCATGAATAGAAAATGATCGTTAATCCACTGGGCAAGTTAAGACCTTTTTCCACTTATTTTTTAGCCATTTTTACTATCTTGCTAATTTCATTTGGGGCTTTCAACCAAGAATTTATCATGTGGGTTGATGGTTAATGCATAACAGATGATAGAAGTTAATCTCCATTAATAGGAGCTTGACTGATATTTAGGACCTTTTTATTTTCTATTTTTAAAAATTTTTTTGTTTTTCAAAGAAGAAAAATTTTAAAAATTTATTTGGATAAATTTTTTTGATTTAATTATTTTTAAAACTATTTTCTTTCAAAATGTAAAAACAACTGTAAGTTATTTTCATTTTATTTTTCTTATTTTTAAAATAGACTGTATTTTATTATTGAAAAATTATAGTTATCTTGATAAATTTTTATCATAAATTACTACTATTAATTAACTGTATATAACTATCATTATTAATATATTTTTAATTGTAAAATTATTTTTAAATTAACATAAATTTTCATTTTTTTTAAATAATTTTAAAAACTATATTATAAAATAGTTTTTAAAAATAAAAAATGGGAACATAAAACAAATATACTCTAAGGACATCTTTTTTTTATTTTGTTTTTGAAAATTGTTTTGTAATATGGTTTGTAAAACTGTTTTTCAAAATAAAATATAAAAAAATTGTTTGGTTGTGTTAATTTAAAAATCAATCAATAGTAATGGTCGGGCTGGCTAATGATTGTAGTT